ATGGAGAATTTGGTGTATAAGCTCCACACACACACAGTCAGTCAAAGTGTGTGACGAGAGAAACATGGGCTTTTCTTTCACCTACCTGCCTAACTGCATAGGAGAAGCAATACATGGTGCTCATGAACAGAGCAAGCATTAAAGTCAAACCAGTCCCTACATCTGACTCAGCTCAATATCCATGTGAGCTTGGGCAAATCACTCATTATCCCTAAGTCTTTATCACCTCATTCAGAAAATGGGGATAACTGGTACCCGCCTGGAATTTTGTGAGAATTCACAAATATTATGCTTGATGTTACTGTGATCATCACACCTATTCCAAACTATCTGACAGAAACAGAGATGGATGATAACATCACCAGATTAGAAACTGTAGTGAGGTCTCTCAGGCAAAATTCCATACAAGCCAATTACTGTCTCTCCAAAGCATTCCTGCCACACTTAATTCCCTATTCCCTGAACCAAATGTGCCATCTTAATTGTCCAGGTCTTTGAACTGCTGGTTTCCCTGACCATTCCCCATCCCTCCACATCCCCCTTCGCTTCCCTACTCTCACACAACTCTTCCTCATCTTTCAAAAGCCAGCTTCACTGTCACCTTATCTGGAAGCTTCTCCCACTCTCCAGAAAAGCTTCCCATTGCACTTGACGCATGCACTATTGTTTGATCATTGTTGAGTTATTGTCCGAGTCTTTTTGTACCTGAATAACATGATGCCAAGTCTCCTCCTGAAATCTGATGTCTTTCATGGTAGATCCAGCCGGAAGTGACAAACAGATATTCTTTAAAAATAAAAGAAAGAATCAGGAAATCCCATAAAAGTTTTAAAAGATATGTGAGAAGCAAACAAATTCAAGAGCTTCTAGGAAAAACGTAAGAGGGAAAGTGTTACTGGGAAATATGCTAAAGGGTTTATTTTTATTCTATTTTACTTTTTTGAGAAAGAATCTTGCTCTATCCCCTAGGCTGGACCGCAGTGGTACAATCACAGCTCATTGCAGCCTCAACCTCCAGGACTTCAGCAATCTTCCAACCTGATTTTTATTTTATTGAAGAAACACATTCTTACTGTTACCAAAGCTGGAATGCAGTTGTGTGATCATAGCTTACTGCAGCCTCGACCTCCTAGGCTCAAGTGATCCTCCAGTCTCAGACTCCCCAGTAGCTGGGATTACAGGTGTAAACTGCAATGTCCAGCTCACGTTATCTTTAAATTTTATTAGAGACAATGTGCTGCTATGTCGACGAGGCTGGTGGTAATCCTTTTCCCTCAAGCAGTTCTCCCACCTCAGCCTTCCAAAGTGCTGGGATGACAGGTGTGAGCTGCCACACCTGCTGAGGAGGTTAATTTTTCATGACATAAAGAGCTCAAAGCAAATATTAGAAGGAGCCTAAATGGCTATTTGTGATATATCCATATACTAAAACATTATGCAACCATGAAAAGGATTCAGATACATCAATAGAAATTGACACAGATGTCCACAAAACATGAAAATGAGAAGCGATATTCAATCAGCCCATATGTATTTGAACAATACGGCCAATTATTTCCTGAGACAAGATTATGGGTCTAAAGAGTAAAGGAAAATTTCCACTTCTTCATTTAAAAGTATTTACTATTTTTATAATTTAATAAAAGATTAAATATACAGATCATCTAATTAGTAAAAGACATGTTAACTCTACAAATAAACAGAAAAGACATGGACAGCCCAACCTTGGTGGCTGATGCTTATAATAGCAGGACTTTGGGAGGGGGCGGTGGGAGAACTGCTTGAGGCCAGGAATTCCAGACCAGACTGGGAAACATAGCAAGACCTTGTTTCTATTAAAAATCAAAAAATTAGCCAGACATGGTGGCATGGGCCTACAGTCCCAGTTACTGAGGTGGAAGGATCACCTGAGTCCAGGAGGTCAAGGCTGCAGTGAGTCGAGACTGTACCACCATACTCAAGCCTGGGCTACAGAGTGAGACTTGGTCTCCCAAAAAAGGAGGGGGAGCAAAAAAGAAAGCTAGCTGGGCACGCTCTAATCCCAGCATTTTGGGAGGCTGAGTCAGTTGGATCACGAGGTACAAAGTTCGAGACCAGCCTGACAAACATGGAGAAACCCTGTCTCTATTGAAAATACTTAGCCATGTATGGTGGCACATGCCTGTAATTCCAGCTATTCTGCAGACTGAGGCAAGAAAATGGCTTGAATCCAAGAGAAGGAGGTTGCAGTCAGCAGAGATTGTGCCGTTGAACTCCAGCCTAGGCAACAAGAGTGAAACTTCATCTGAAAAAGAAAGAGAGAGAGAAAAAGAAAGCTAATAAAGTAATATAAGGAAATATATATTCAAATGTAACAAAATAAAGTATTAATGATATCTTTTATTTACTAAAAATGATCAAACAAAAAATAACTTGTTATTGTACCCTGTGCCAGCAAAGGTGCAGTGAAATGGGCATTTTCTTTTACTATCAGTGATGTTTAAATTGTATACAAGCCTTCCACCAGGGTAAAGCTTGGAAATTTTTAAAAAATACAGTGACTCACTGTACTGCCTCCTCCAACTCCTGGCCTCAAGCGATCCTCCCACCTCAGCCTCCCAAAGTGCTGGAATTATAGGCCGACAGCCACCATGCCTGAAAGCTCGGCAGTTTACACCAAGTATAACAAGAATGCTAATGTCCTGTGACTCACAGTCATCTCATTTCTGGCTGGAAATATCTTCGGATACAATTCAACCTAAACAAAAGGTCATATGCACAAACACAGTAAATCTAAGAGTAGTATTTTTCTGTTTTAAAAACATACGTAACACTTCACAGATCTGCACGTCATTCTTGCAGAGGCCATGCCAATCTCTCTATTATTCCGGCTTTAGGATATGTGCTACTGAAGCAAGCATGAGTAATTTCAGATAGAGCGGTTAAGCGAAATCAGGAAGAGTTATGGGGAATTTAAAAATCTATGGTATTTATAGGTACCTAGTAACAGCTCAGTAAATATTAGCTGATACTTTTATTATTTTTATGGTAATTCCACTCAATTAAAAATTGTCATTCAAAATTTACCACTGTCTTGGAACATGTATTTAACAGCATAACTGTAAAAACAGATAGAGGCTGGGTGCGGTGGCTCACACTTGTAATCTCAGCACTTTGGGAGGCCAAGGCAGGTGGATCACCTAAGGTCAGGGGTTCAAGCCTAGCCTGACCTAACATGGAGAAACCCCATCTCTACTAAAAAATACAAAATTAGGTGCGGTGGTGCCTGTAACCCTAGCTACTCTGGAAGCTGAGGCAGGAGAATCACTTGAACATGGGAGGTGGAGGTTGTGGTGAGCTGAGAGTGCACCATTGCTCTCCAGCCTGGGAGAAAGTGAAAAACTCCAACTTGAAAAAAAAAAAGAGAAAAAGGCCCAGCACAGTGACTCACAGCTGTAATCCCAGCACTTTGGGAGGTTGAGGCCAGGTAGATCACCTGAAGTCAGGAGCTCAAGACCAGTCTGGCCAACATAATAAAACCCTGTCTCTACAAAAATACAAAAATTAGCTCAGCATGATAGCAGGTACCTGTAATCTTAGCCTACTCTTAACCCTGGGAGGTGGAGGTTGCAGTGAGCTGAGATTGTGCCATTGCACTCCAGCCTAGGCAACAGAAAGACTGTCTCAAAAACAAAAGAAAACAAAACAGATACAATCTGTCCCTTGGTATATGGGGAGATTGGTTCCAGCTCCCCAGTATCCACGTAGACCAAAATCCATGCAAGCATCTGTAGTCCCAGCTACTTGTGAGGCTGAGGAAGGATTGCTTTAGCCTAGTAGGTTGAGGCTGCAGTGAGCCATAACTGCACCACTGCACTCCAGTCTGGGCAACAGTGAGAGAAGGTTGACTTTTAAATATAATTTTTCAGTTCACTTGAGAATTGGGTAACAACTGTGGCATATGAAAATTCTTCATAGAATAATTATCTAATCAAATTAATGCTAGAATTGGGAACAGAAAATGTTTTCTTGACTCTTTATTCCTTCACTTGCTGCTACATCAACTATTGCCAGCGGGCACTTACCAACCAGAAGTGTTATCTCAGAGCTACTCACAATGAAATGTGATGTCTAGGGCTCAGGTGTGTTCAGGTCTCCATGCCTTGGCTATTGGTGAGTGGGACTTATATGTCCATCCATTTTCTATATTCCAGCTCTGGAAAAGTTGGGTTTATCATCTTGATAAGATGCACTTTAAATTTAACTCGGCAAGAACCACAGATGGAAGAAAGGTTATGAAACCACAGGATAGTACTTGTTCTCAAGGGACTCTTCAGCTTAGGTGCTTCTGTAAAAAAGGAATGACATTGTCAAACACTCATCACAGGTCAGGTGAGGTGCTGCATATCTATAATCCCAGCCCACTGGGAGACTAAGATAGAAGGATCCCATGAGGCCAAGAGTTTAAGACCAGCCTTGGCAACACAGTGAAACCTCAACTCTACAAAAAAAAAAAAAAAATTAGAAAATGAGCTGGGTATGGCATCACATTCCTATAGTCCTAGCTACCCTGGAGGCTTAAGTGGGAGGATAGTTGAACCCAGGAAGTGGAAGCTGCTGTGAGCAATGATCTCACCACTACACTCCAGCCTGGGTAACAGAGTGAGACAGTGTCTACACACACACACCCCTCAGTCTGTCCAGCCTTGACTAATGAAAAGGGTCTTCCGGTTACAGAAGAGGTGTGCTCTTTTGTAGGACAGGAAGGGACCAGCAAGCGTGTTCACAACCTTTCCTCATCCTCTGCTTAGTTTCCCAAGAAACTTCAAGGGAGTCCCGAGGGAAATGACATAAATATTCTGGTTACCAGAGGAGAAATATGCCTCCTTTGTCAATTAACAAATGGAACACCTGCCATGAAAACCAGGAAATTCTGCTAAGATGAACCACTCCCTACGACACTGACCTCTGCAGGAAAAACGAGAAACCGGAGTTTGTGGACCAATAATATTGAAGGTCACATTCCAGATTGTGGACATCTAACCAAAGTACAGCCTTTCCACAAGGCTGGCTGTCTCCATAGGGCACTGCCGTATCTCTGGCTCTCATTTCCCTGAGAGATGCTCTATTCCAGCTTTCTCTTGCATTTTGTATTCTGTAGTTCCTGGGGTAAGACCTCACAACATAGCAAACTGCTGACTCCATGCTGACCTACAGATCTGACTTCAGATTCTAGCAGGACTCTTTCAGTTTAAGAAATTGAAGAGGAGAAAAAAATGGACCCAGCCTGGCACTGGCCAGCTTAGCAGTCCGAAGATAGAAGCTGCTCAAAATGACTACAGTGCTTCTGACTTTCTGAGTCTGCCCTTGCTCCTAGGGCTCTTTGGATGACATTTATTTCTCCTTGTTGAAGAAATGGTTTGCTAGAATATAAAAAACTTAAGAAAAAAACATTAAAATATAATTTTCTCCTAAAGAGCACTCAAAAGTATACTCCCACCAGTGCTGGATCTATTTCTCTCTTTTTTTTTCTGAGATAGGATCTCACTCTGTTACCAAGACTGGAGCACAGTGGTGAGATCCCAGCTCACTGCAGATTTCAACTCCTGGGCTCAAGCAATCCTCCCACTTCAGCCTAACCAAGTAACTCAAATTACAGGTGTATGCCCCCATGCCGAATTTGTTAAATTTTTTGTAGAGAAGGCCACTATGTGGCCTAGGCTGGTCTTGAACTCCTAGATCAAACTAATCCTCCTGCCTTGGCCCCCCAAAGTGCTGGAATTATAGGCTTTAGCCACCACACCCAGTCTATTTACTTTCATATATATATATATATACACACACACACACATACACATATATACACACACACATATATATACACACATATACATGCACACACACGCACATATATATACATATATAAAATCTTATATATTAAATGTTCCTCCTTAAATCACCTCCTACCCACCCATCTGCAGGGAGAGCAAACACAGGTTTCAGCATATCAGGCAACCTACGTGAAGAAAGGAGGCTGGAGTAATGACAGAGCCCAGGAGGAACTGTAGCAAATGGCAAGGTATTCACTTCAAAGGTTTTTCAACATTGTGATGGTCAAACCAAACACAGAAACAGGAAGCCCAGTTCAGTCACCAGCAGCCAACATTGGATATTTGATCTACATGCTACAGGGCAAACTGTTTAGGATGAATGACCTTGTCTCCACCACCCCGTTCTTCAAGTCCCTCCTGCCCAGTAGTCCCTACACTCTGCTGACATGACCCACATTCACAGGACTCTCCTGACACCTTTGCTTGTTTAGTCTTTTTTCCCCAATGACTATTTTCTTTTTTGGATACAGAGTTCACTTCTGTCACACAGGCTTGAAGTAAAGTGAGGTGATTATGACTCACTGCAGATTCCATCTCCTGGGCTCAAGGGATCTTGCCTCCCAAGTAGCTGGGATTACAAGCATGGACCACCATACCTAGCTAAGTTTGTTATGATGATGATGATTATTTTGAGATGGAGTCTCACTCTATCATCCAGGCTGGAGTGCAGTAGCATGATGTAGACTTACTGCAACCTCCACCTCCTGGGTTCAAGTAATTCTCCTGCCTCGGCCTCCTGAGTAGCTGGGATTACAGGCATGCACCAGCAAGGCCAGCTGATTTTTGTGTTTTAGTAGAGATGGGGTTTCACCATGTTGGCCAGGATGGTCTCAATCCCTTGACCTTGTGATCCACCTGCCTCGGCTTCCCAATGTGCTGGGATTACAGGCATGAGCTGCTGTGCCTGGCCAACCTTTTCTATTTATAAACTACTGAGCCTCATATGTATGCTTATAACAATGCAAAATAGACTAATATAGCAATCGTATGCCAACACTTACCAGACTGTGAGGAGCACAATGACAGAAGTACAGAGTGAGACTGAAATGCTCCCAAGGGGCTTCTTGTCGCATCATAGAGAATGGGGTGAGACACCTCGGCTGAGGCTAAAGATGAGCAAAGACGAGAGTCAAAGAGTGATGATGAGGGTAGGGGAAGGTTTCCTGAAGAAGGACACCAGTAAAGTCCCCCAAAGAAACTGACATTCCATGTGGCTGGAGGGTAGGGATATGGGGAGGGTGGTGCAGGATAAAACTGGAAAGGTAAGCCGAGGCCAGCTCTTACCAGGCCCTGTGGCCAAATTAGTTTGATTTTATCTGAAAGGCAATGGGCAGTCACCAGCAGGTTTTAATCAAGAACCATTTTGACCCAAATTGGCCTTTTAGAAAAATTCCTCTGGCTTCAGTGAGTAGGCTGAAGTGAGCAAGCCTAGAAGTCAGGAAGACAATTGGAGGCCTTCAAATTAAACCAGTACCAAAGAAAACAGGGCCAGGCATGGTGGCTGCTGCCTATAATCTCAAAACTTTAGAAGTCTGAGGTGGGTGGATGTCTTGAGCCCAGGAGTTTAAGACCAGACTGAGCAATGTGGTAAAACCACATCTCCACAAAACACAAAATATTAGTTCGGTGTGGTGGCTCATACCTGTGGTCATACCTCAGCTATCCCAGAGGCTGACGCAGGAGGATAGCTTAAGCCCGGGAGGTTGAGACTGCAGTGAGCCAAGATCACATCGCTGTGCTCCAGCCTGGGCAACAGAGGGAGACGGTCTCAAAAAGAAAATCCCATTCTTCACCTATTAGTGCCCCAATGTTCTCATGAGAACCTTGGAGATGCAGTGAATTCAACTGTCATTGTAATTCAGCAATTCACACCTTTAAGTTTGTGTTTGATTTTCAATAATAACCCTGTGGAAACAAGAAATAAGGAATTGTGTTTGGGCTATCGTGGAAGCTCTCTGGATCTTAGACCGTGACTTATGCTAAGACTTGAGCTTCGTGTTTTTCTGTCTGTGAGTGCTCAAGTGCAGCGGTCCCCAGGTTTTTGGCACCCGGGACCAATATTATGGAAGACAAGTTTTCCACAGGCTGGGGGCAGGGGTCAGTTTTGGAATATTTCAAGCACATTACATTTATTGTGTACTTTGTGATTACTACATTGTAGTATATAATAATTATATAACTCACCATAATGTACAATCAGTGTGAGTCCTGAGCTTGTTTGTTTTCCTGCAACTACATGGTCCCATCTGGGGGTGAGGAAAGATAGTGATAGATTAACAGGCAACAGATTCTCATAAAGACACAGCAAGGTAGAACCCTTGCATGCACAGTTACACAATAGGGTTCCTGCTCCTATGAGAATCTAATGCTGCCACTGACCTGACAGGAGGTGGAGATCAGGTGGCAAAGACGGGAGTGGCCATAAATACAGATGAAGCTTTGCTCGCCCACCTGCTGCTCACCTCTTGCTGTGTGGCCAAGTACAGGCCTGTGATTCAGGGATTAGGTGCCCCTGCTCCACTGCATCCAAAAGGACCCTCTCGACAGAAGTCTTCATAGTGGTCAAGTAAAGAAGCCACTTAGCTCCTAAGGCATGTGTCTCAGCTGGCATTTCATCACAATCAACAGGAAGTGGTAGCTTGAAACATTATGAGGTCACTTCCTAAAAATCACCAGCAGCCCATTTCCCATTGACAAGGAGCTCAACGCTGCCCCTTGGATAACCAAACCTATGCCCAGATCCCATTTGTGTGGGTCTTTCTCCCAGAACCCTTCCTAGCATCAGCTCTGTATTTGTCAGAGTCCAATCAAAAGACAAAAGTCACCCAAAGTTTAAACTGGTAAAATTTAAAGTAAAAAAAAATTAATTATATAACAAGGGGACACCATATAAGAGATTGGCTACAAAAGAAAAGAGAACTCTAGAGAACATATGGCTACCAGAGGCCAGACAAGGTGGCTCATGCTTACAATTCCAGCAATTTGGGAAGCCAAGGCTGGAGGATTGCTTGAGGCCAGCAGTTTGAGACCAGCCTTGGAAACACAGTGAGACCCTGTCTCTACCAAAAAAAAAACAAAAACAACAAAAAAAAAAATTGCCAGGTGTGGTAGCACACACTTGTAGTCCTAGTTACTTGGGAGGCTGAGGTGAAAAAATTGCTTCAGCCCAGGAGGTTAAGATTGCAGTGAGCCACGATTTCACCACTGCACTTTAGACTGGGCAAGAGAGAGACCCTGCCTCAAAAAAACAAAGTATAGGACCAGCTGTTACAAGGAGCAGTAACTTCCTACTGTCCCTACACTGAGATACAGTGACCAAGGAAGGGATTCCCCACTAAGGTTGAGATCCAGGCCCCCTTGGACAGGGCACAGTCATGGGTAATTCAATGGCAGAATTGCTGCATTACCACTTGGTGGAACATGCTAGCAATATGCCTTCTGGAATTTGCTGAAAAGCCACCATCTAGGGTGCTAGCTTAACGTATTGGTAAACAGCTGTCTCACTACAAAACCACCCAGGCAAATGCAGAGAAACCGCTGGTCACTGCGGGCTACTAAGCATTATGCAGGGCAGGAGCCTGGTGCTGGAGAAGCTCAGTGCCTGTGAAGATTTGTACACAACTAGAAAGAAAAGCCTCTTATGATGCCCCTCAAGCATCATGTACTGACAACATTTAATAATGCACCAGTTGACGGAGGAAGCATTTAAAGATCCCACCTCTATGTTTGCAGAGCAGGCAGTGAAGGCTGAATTTGGAACTGAGGAGCAGTCATTGGATGAATAGCTGATACATGACACATTTCCATCTAACAAAGAAGGAAGGAAGAAGAGAAAAATGAGAAAAAAAAAAAAAACAGGCATGGTTCACACCTGTAACTGCAGCAGTTTGAAAGGCCAAGGCAGGTGAATCACTTAGGTCCAGGAGTTTGAAACCAGCCTGGGTGACATAGAGAAAACTTATCTCCACTACAAATAAAAAAATTAGCTGAGTATGGTGGCATGTGCTGTAGTCCCAAGTTCTCAAGAGGCTCCTGGGTTCAAGCAATTCACCTGCCTCAGCCTCCCAAGTGGTGGGAATTACAAGTATGCACCACTATGCTCAGCTAACTTTTGTATTTTTAGTAAAGACAAAATTTTACCATGTTGGCCACATCAGTCTCAAACTCCTGACCTAGTGATCTACCCACCTCAGCCTCCCAAAAGCTTTTGCTCTGTCTTTGCCCACTTAATCTAAGAAAATTAAGCTAAAATAAATTTGTAACCAAACCAAAATGAAGCTAAGAGGTGTGGCTACTATACTCAAAACACTTGAAATTCTCTTGACCCAAAAATAACTATCTGGAAGCCAAGAACGACTATCTGGAAGTCAGCATCCTCAGAGTGCATTTCAGAGGCAAACTAGAAATATGTCAGTGTAAACTATGAGAGTCCAGAGCCTTCGTTTGAGTAAAACTAGGTGTAGCAAAACCATGGGCTCCATGCATGACTGGTATTGTAAAAGAGGCCACAGGGAGTAGAATTAAATATGATACCCTTGGCCGGGCGCAGTGGCTCACACCTGCGATCCCAACACTTTGTGAGGCCGAGGTGGCCAGATCGTTTGAGGTCAGGAGTTTAAGAGCAGCCTGGCCAACGTGGTAGAACCTCGTCTCTACTAAAAATATAAAAATTAGCCAGGCATGGTGGCAGGTGCCTGTGATCCCAGCTACTTGGGAGGCTGGGGCAGGAGAATCACTTGAATCCAGGAGGCAAAGGTTCCGGTGAGCTGAGATCACAACACTACACTCCAGCCTGGGCAACAGAACAAAATTCCATCTGCAAAGTTTCTTCTAAACTCAATTTAAGGCACCATGTACCAAAACCAGATAGTAATAAATTAAATAAATTTTAGCCTTTTTCATGCCATCCAATTACATCTTGGTCAGTTCACAAACATGTTTCCGCAAATGCTGGAGGAGTTTTTCTCTTTAGGAGTCCTCTCTCACTTTACCCTGCTTAACAAAAGATTTCACACACAAAGAGAATGGAGACAGCCCCACTTCAGGACATGCTACAGGGAGAGAACTGACTGTCCCAAAAAGAGAGGGCTCCACACCCCTCTGACAACTCCACAATAGACCAGCTACACACAAATGCCTGAAGTAAGGAAGTCCATTAAGAAAATGAACAGTTGGTGAGATCAAGACTTCTGAGCCAAAGGGCCTGCAGCTGGTCTGACGATTCATCAAAAAGTCTGAATTTAAATGGACACATATCGGACTGTGACACGTAATAAAAGAACTGAAGCAGCCAAGTGTCTTGATTTGGGTTTCCTTTCCACTGTATGCAGCTCCAGTGAATGGAGAAGTGAGCATGCCTGTGGTACTCCTGACACATCTGGGATAGTTCCCATCCACAGTAGTCAACCTTTGGGATTATCCACACATTGCAGGGTCATTGCCCATCTGTGCTGACCTCGAATGTCCAGAGAAAAGCTTTTGTTTAGAGACTGGAGAGAAAAATGTCAAACCTGAAAACCCATGAACTATCTTAGCCAGGGGGAACACATGAAGGAAACACCATAGAATCTCACACCAGAAGCCTAATTTCAGGTTGACCTCGAAAGCTTTACGATTGTTGAGTAATCAGCTTACTTTCTCTAGGCTCTGTTATTCTCACATCAATAAAAAGAAAAGCAGACTGAATAGTCTCCCAGATCGATTCCAATCTTAACATCCTCTGGCTTTATGATTAAAGAATGATACTAATAAATAAGGTTAAAACTGTGGCTTAACCCCAATAGGAGCCCGCTGGGATTATGCTAAGCAAAACTAGTCCACATAGAAAGAGCCATTCTGACCACATCCCTCCCTATACCAGCTATCATACAGATATGCACCACGGGTATGAAAAGTCCCTTCCACAGACGACTGTCTGATTCAATCATAGGCTGATTTATTCATTCAAACAACAAATATTTACTGAGCAACTTCTAGGTATTTAGGCTTACAACAACAAAACAGACAAAATCCCTTCCCTTACTTACCTTTTAGTGAAGGAGGAGGGGGAGTCAAACATCAAATAGGAAATATAATTAACGATATATTTTATGCAGGGCTTGCTGGGATTCACTCAGGGTGGCTGGAAAAATATTAAGGGAAATATTAGGGAAGTATAGAATATAGTCTCAAACCTTTGGGAAGCCGAAGTTTTAATGAGCCAGGCTGAAGACAGCCAGTTCTTACATTCGAGCTTTAAGTCATATGGTTGAGCCTGTTTACCCCACATTCCTTTTTCTCTACTCTGTTTACTCATGTAAACTTCATGCCAGCTGTTCCTCTAAGGGGGAGGTTGAAAAAGAATTACTTCTTAATGCTGTTTATTCTGGACCTCAGAACCAAAAGTTTTTATCATTCTTAAAACCACTCTTTTAACCATCTTAATTATCCACAAGCATGTTAACTTAAAACCTCTTTTACTACTTCTATATTGAATAAATGCAAGAATGAACAAGGAGTCAATTAGCTGCAATCACTCTCTAAAACTTGATGACACCCTAGCCCAACTCTTACACTGTATTCTGTATGTACGGGCATATTTTATTCATCTGATACTTATACTAAATAAATGTTTGTTTAATAAGTGAAACTAAATGTGAATTGTAAGTATAAAGAAGTCACGATGAGAGGTGAGCAAAAGGCCCATCTTCATCAAATTAATCTCTTCTTGGGGAAGACACTGAATTTGTGCCTGCAGATTATCATCTTACCTTTTAATAAAAAATTTAATTTCATTGCCCACTTGAATGATGTTTCCCAGCCTTGGGATTCCCTATCATGAGGGACTTCTGAAAGGAAATGTTTTCCAGTAGTTCTTCCACACACAGATCATTCACATGTCCTTCAAATTTTTGGTCTTAAAAACGATCTTCAAAGATTAAGCTTTGTTTTGCAATATCCTTAAACAGAAGAGAAAGAAAAAAATCATTATAGACAATAAAGAACATAACCTAAGCTGGTGTGCAGTGGCATGATCTTAGTTCCTTGCAATCTCGGCCTCTCAGGTTCAAGCAATCCTCCTGCCTCAGTCTCCCGAGTAGCTGAGATTACAGGTGCCTGCCAGCATGCCTGTCTAATTTTTGTATATTTTTAGTAGAGACAGGGCTTAACTAAGTTGGCCAGGCTGGTCTCCAACTCCTGACCTCAGGTGATCCACCCACCTTGGCCTCCCAAAGTGCTGGGATTACAGGCATGAGCCAATGTGCCCAGTCACAAACACTATTTGGAAGCAGCTTTTTGCTACTATCTGCTCGTGACTGTAATAACCCTCCTCCATTGGCTGCCTTACAGTAGCGCATTTCGGGCTACAATTTCATCTGCACTGCAGCCATGAGATCAATGCTCTTTACCCCTTCAACCTCGTGAGCATGCTGTTTAATAAGAAATAACGTTCCACAAAGAATTCATGGAATGGGAATTAAAAATAGTAAGCAGAGGCTGGTTTAGATGAAAAGAGGCATAACAACCAAAGTTAGCACATGAAGATTGTTTAAAGCCAGATTTAAAACAAAATTTTCTCAGATACTATTCAGATAAGAGTAAGGAAACTCGACTAAGGGCTACATATGAGCCGACACCAAAAAATCATTGTTAAATTTGTCAGATGTGATGAGAGAGTGGCTGTTTGGGGATGCACACTAGACAGATAAAATAATGTGATGACTGTGATTTGCTTTATAATATTCCTGCAAAGGGAGGTAAAAGAATAGCAGAACAAAATGTGGACAATCTTAATGATCGCAGAAATTGAGGAATGGGTATTTCAGTGTAGAGCGTACTATTTTCTCTACTTTTGAATAGGTATAAAAACTCTAATTTAAAAATGTAAAAAAAAAAATGGTTGGGAGCAGTGGCTCACTCCTATAATTCCAGCACTTGGGGAGGCCGAGGCAGGTGGATCACTTGGGTCAGGAGTTAAGAGACCAGCCTGGCCAATATGGTGAAACCCTGTCTCTACCAGAAATACACACACAAAATGTTAGCCAATTGTGGTGACAGGCACCTGTAGTCCCAGCCACTAAGGAGGCTGAGGCAAGAGAATCGCTTGCACCCAGCAGGAACAGGCTACAGTGAGCCAAGATCAGCCTGGGCAACAGAGTGAGAATCTGCTTCTAAAAAACAAACACCAAAAACAAAAATAAAGTAAAAATTAATTTACTATTCCCTGCTCTGAAGCCACATCTAAACAGAATTCTAAAAAGAAAGATTCTAGCAATTTACATGGTGCTATTTATATAGAAATCTCCCTTGCACCTTTCTATGTAAATTTAAATATTTTGCAACCTGATGGCTGGGAGTGGTTCAAAGCTGGGCATGGTAACACATGCCTGTAGCCCCGGCCACTTAGGACGCTGAGGCAGGAGGATAACATGAGCCCAAAAGTTCTAGTCACGCCCAGACAACATAACAAGACCTGGTTTCTTTAAAAAGAAATGGGGACCTGAGAGGGAGCTCATTGATGAGTTATTTTGGTGACATAAACAAGTGCTATCAAAACACTAGTATAAAATCCAAAATTAAATCTACTGCCAGATTTTTCTCCTTACTTCTGGACTCATTTATCCAATTGCCTCCTCTACCTCCACAACTCAACTTGAAAGAAATTAATTTCTTTGATCTTAGATTGGCTTTCCTCTAACATCTAAGATTTGTATTAAATTCTTACTTCATGTTATTAGCACCAAATCTGAAAGGATCTAGTATAGGAACTCTTTGAGATAAGAAACACATAAAATGAAATCGTTCTCATATCTGTAAAAAGAAGTATGCCCATAATAAACAGTAAAAAATTAGAGGCTTTCAGTCACAATAAAGAATGATGTTAAATAAAATTATTCTGTCAATTCAACAAGAAACTATATAAACCTAATTCTAACAAACTTTCTATAAAATAAACAAGAACCAATTGTCAGAGCTGAGAGTAAAAAGTGGAAGTTTTAGAAATAGATGAAGTCAACTGCAGAACATGCCTATCACATACCATAAAGGCTGTCCCAATCACACCCATCCCCCTTATTCCACCTAGTATCACCTGAGGTCAGGAGCCCAAGACCAACCTGGCCAACATAGAAAAATCCCTTCTCTACTAATAATGCAAAAATTAGTCTTGAATGGTGGTGGGTGACTGTGAGGCAAAAGAACTGCCTGAACCCAAGAGCCAGTTAGCCAGAATCACATCACAGCACTCCAACCTGGGTGACAACAGTGAAAACTGTCTCAGGAAAAAGAAAAACAAATTCCTTTGGGAAGGCTTTCTTCATAGAGATCTTCAACATAAGACTGAAGAAAAGGGTATGGAATCATCACCGGACCTTTGGCTTTTACACCTTGAGGTATAAGAACAAAACGAAAAAGGGATATAATTTAAACACAATTTGCAGGAAAGAATCATTATTGAATCTGTATTGCTCTTTAACTTTCTTTTCTTGAAAGTTTCACTCTTGTCGCCCAGGCTGGAGTGCAGTGGCATGATCTCGGCTCACGGCAAGCTCCATTTCTCAGGTTCAAATGATTCTCCTGCCTCAGCCTGCTGAATAGCTGGGATACAGGAGCCTGCCACCACCCCCAGCTAAGTTTTGGATATTCTGCAGAGACAGTTTCACCATTTTGGCCAGGCTGGTCTCGATCCCCTGACCTCAGGTGATCTGCTCGTCTCAGCCTCCCAAAGTACTGGGATGAGCCACTGAGCTGCCTCAGCACTTTCTTATGTTCTTAAATAGCCTAACCCAGGTGGGGACAGTGGCTCATGCCTGTAATCCCAACAACTTTGAAAGACAAGGTCAGAAGGTTGCTTCAACCTAGCAGTTCAAGACAGGCCTGGGCAACATAGCTAGACCACTCCTCATCTCTACAAAAATTAGGCCAGGTATGCACCGCACCTAGCTAATTTTTATATGTTTTGTAGAGAGAGGGTTTCATCATGTTGCCCAGGCTGGTCTCAACCTCCCGAGCCCAAGCCATCCTCCCGCCTCGGCCCTCAAAGTGCTGGGATTACAGGGCCCAGGGAGCCTCATGTTTTCTTTAAGCAGTCCCCTACTCTTCACACTTGGATAGTTTTCTTTTTGTTCTTTTAGGCAGGGTGTACCTCAGTCTCACAGGTTGGAGTTCTGTGGTGGGATCATAGCTCATTGCAGCCTTGAACCCTGGGGTTCAAGTAGCTGGGAGGCTGAAGTGGGACTACAGATACAGGTCATACCATGTTGCCCAAGCTGCTCTTGAACTCCTGGACTGAAGGGATCCCCCTACCTCAGCGACATAGACATTGCAGTACCAGGCTTCACTCTGAGAAGACAACACATCTCCAGGCCCTGTCCTGTCCCTGTGACTTCCCTGAAAACCCACCCCTGTGACGTCACAGAGCGCCCCCCTCAGATGGAGCCAATCAAAACTCCAAAAGAAAATGTCAGTTGCATGCCAGTCAGATGTCAGCATTGTCCACGTTTCAAAAGCTAACACTGGCATGACTGACTTAGTGTTGGACCCAGAAAAATTAAAAAGTGAAAGATAAAAATATGCAAAATAGGCTGAGTATGATGGCTCATGCCTGTAATCCCAGCACTTTCAGAGAACGAGGCAGGTAAATCACAAACTCAGGATTTTGAGACCAGCCTGGCCAATAAGGAGGCTGAGGAAAAAGAATTGCTTGAACCCAGGAGGCAGAGATTGCAGCCAGCCGAGATCACGCCACTGCACTCCAGGCTGGGTGACAAGAGTGAAAACTTTGTCTCAGAAAAAAAAATTCTTTGGGAAGTCCTTCTACATAAAGATCTTCAACATGAGACTGGAAAAAAAGTTTAAGATCATCCTGGACCTTTGGCTTTTACAGCTTGAGCTGTAACTGAAAAAAAAAGGATATCATTTAAATACAATTTGTAAAAAAGAATAATTATTCAATCTGTATTGCTCTTTAATTTTTTTTTTTTTAACGAAGTCTTGGTCTGTTGCCAAATGGGAGTGCAGTGGCACAATCTCAGCTCACTGCAGCCTCCATCTCTCATGTGCAAGCAATTCTCCTGCCTCCGCCTCCTGAGTATTTGGGACTACAGGTGCCTGCCACCATGCCCAACTAATTTTGGTACATTCAGTAGAGACGGGGTTTCACCATACTGGCTAAAATCATCTTGATCTCCTGTCCTCATGATCCACCCACCTTGGCCTCCCAAAGTGCTAGAATTACAGGCATGAGCCACCATGCCCTGCATTGCTCTTTAACTTTTATAATTTGTTCTTTACTTCTGTTATTGTAATTCAGTCCAAAAAATAGTATGAAAAAAATAAAAAGAACCTCCAAAATGCTAATACTCTGATTATCAAAGTCTACAGCAAAATATCCCATTACAGCTGGGTACAGTGACTCACACCTGTAATCCAGCACTTTGGGAGCCTGAGGTCAGTGAATCACATAAGATCAGAAGTTCAAGACCATCCTTGCCAACATGGGAAACCCATCTCTACTAAAACTACAAAAACTACCTATGTGTGGAGACAGGTGCCTGCAATCCCAGCTACTCGGGAAGCTGAGGTAGGAGAATCACTTGAACCCAGGAGGTGGAGTTGCACTGAGCCAAGATCATGCCATTGCACTCCAGTATGAGGGACAAGAGGGAAACTCCGGCTCAAAAAGAAAAAAAAACAAGAAAAGGAAAGAAAGAAAGAAAGAATCCCATTATTTAAGCCAATGTAGATAGAGCCAGACTTTCTACAACAGTCTGAACCAAATTATAAGGCCAGAAAAAAATACCGGCTAATGTTATTTAATATATGCAGTACTGAATGGAAAATGCAATATTTTCAAAACATCAACATTAGTGTAACCTCATTGGACTTAGAAATAATTTTTTTAACTAATAGAAACCAAAGATTCTCCTGAACTGCAACATTTCAGCTAGCATTTATTTACTCAAGATTGAAATACTACAACAGCTATAAAAAGTCAAGAGCTGGGATGGGCACTGTGGCTGATACTTGTAATCCCAGCACTTTGGGAGCCCGAGGCAGTCAGAAAACCTGAGGTCTGGAGTTCAAGACCAGCCTAACCAACATGGAAAAATCCCGTCTTTACTAAAAAACAAACAAACAAACAAACAAACAAACAAACAAAATTGGCTAGACATGGTGGTATACACCTGTAATCCCAGCTACTTAGGAGACTGAGGCAGGAGAATCACTTGAACCCAGGAGGAGGATGTTGTGATGAGCTGAGATCAAGCCTTTGCATTCCAGCCTGGGCAACAAAAGCGAAACTACGTCTCAAAAAAAAAAAAAAAATTCAAGAGCTAGTCATTGAACGGGCTCACACCTGTAACCCCAGCACTTTGCAAGGCCTAGGTGGGTGGATCACCTGAGGTCAGGAGTTCAAGACCAGCCTGGCCCACATGGTGTAACCCCGTCTCTACTAAAAATACAAAAATTAGCCTGGCATGGTGGCACTTACCTGTAGTCCCAACTACTAGAGACACTGAACCAGGAGGATCGCTTGAACCTGAGAGGTGGACATTGCAGTGAGCTGAGATCATGCCACTGCCCTCCACCCTGCGTGACAGAGCAAGACTCTCTCAAAGAAACAAAATGGCAAGAGCATGGGTAGTAGTAAAATTAAACATAACCAACAATCTCCCATCAGAATAGCTCCATTTTTTGCTATCATTATGTGTTAAAGTCTATTTGCTAAACATTGACATTTGTACTAAACTTTCAAGTGCACCATATAACACATTAGTGCTCACTGAAGTTTAATATCCTTTGCTGTACACTAAACTTGAAATATCGTACTTATAGATCAAAACCAAAGTATCTTTCCCTAAGGTAATTACCACTAATGCTGCTTTAAAATTATAAAATGTGAAGATTTTTTATAATGTCACAACAGCTGAAAATTATTGTCGTTAAACAGAATAATCTAATAAATCACCATCACAAAAAAGCCCCACAACATAATCTATTTCATCTTATGAAAAGCACTTACATTTATAAAACTGTTAGTCAATTTATAAAACGTTAATAGCAAATTATTTTTACTTAGAATTGTACTAAATTAACAATACAATAAAGACATAGGCCAGGTGTGGTGGCTCACACCTGTATCCCAGCACTTCAGTAGGCCCAAGGCAAATGGATCACTTGAGGTCACAAGTTCCAGATCAGCCTTGCCGACATGGGGAGACCCCACATCTACTAAAAATACAAAAATCAGGCAGGCGTGGTGGTGGACACCTGTAATCCCACCTATTCGAGAAGCTGAGGTAGAAGAATCACTTGAACCTGGGAGGCGAAGGTTGCAGTGAGCCGAGATCGTGCCATTGCGTTCCAGAACGGGTGACGAGAGCAAAACTCCAGCTCAAAAAACAAAATCCCATTACTTTAAGCCAATGTAGATACAGCCAGACGTTCTATAGCAATCTGAACCATATCATAAAGCCAGAAAAGCACACCAGCTAATATTAGGTAATACATATAGTACTAAATTAAAAAGGTAGTATTTTCAATACATAAACATCAGTGCAACCTTACTGGACTCGTAAAAACACATACTGGAGTTATAAACATAATTTTGAAAAGTACCAGAAACAGAAGATTCTCCTGAACTACAACATTTGAGCTAGCATTTATTTACTCAACATTAAAATAGTATAATAGCTATAAAAAGTCAAGAGCTGGGCTGGGGGTGGTGGCTCACACCTGTAGTCTCAGCACTTTGGGAGGTCGAGGCAGGCAGATCACCTAAGGTCAGGAGTTCAAGACCAGCCTGACCAACATTAAAAACTCTTGTCTCTACTAAAAATGCAAACTTAGCTGGGCACGATGGCACGTAACTGTTATCCCAGCTACTCAGGAGGCTGAGGCAGAAGAATCGTTGGAACCCAGGAGGCGGAGGTTGTCGTGAGCCAAGATCGCACTATTGCACTCCAGCCTGGGTAATGAGAGTGAAACTCCATCTCAAAAAATAAATCAATAAATATATAAAATAAATGAAAGTCAATCACTGGCCAAATGCGGGTGGCTCACACCTGTAAGCCCTGAATTTTGGGAGGCCAGGGCAGGTGGATCATTTGAGGACAGGAGTCTGAGAGCAGCCTGGCCAATGTGGTGAAACCTCATCTCTACTACCTACACAGAAATTAACTAGACATGGTGGCAGGTGTCTGTAATAGCAGATTCTTGGGAGGTTGAGGCAGGTGGATCACCTCATGTTA